GTACCCCACTGACTCCTCACCCCCCTCGCAGTACCCCACTGACTCCTCACCCCCCTCGCAGTACCCCACTGACTCCCCTTTGACTCTTTTCTGCTGACATAGCAAACACCTCCATAGTCAGTTTGCTTTATCCTCAACTTTGCTTTTAATGTGACAAATTTTTTATGCTAATTTGATGAACTATAATTAAGATCACCATGTTAAACCTCACTTTCCCGCTTGTTATTGGCAAGCTATTCTACCAAACAAACTGGTCTTCATACTGCAATATGAATTACACCAAGAGTTGGAGCGTTTTACTCTAAGCAATGAACATGGTGTAAAAACAGGGTAAGGGTGCCTGGGGGTCCCCGCTGACAACGCCACACCCCCATCTGTGTCCCCCACACCAGCCTGCCAGCCCCCTCAGGCTGTGTGAGGCCACATCCGGTGTTTGAAAGCACCTCTGAAAGGCATCATAAGACACGTACATGAAATACACAGCAAGGAATTTTTAATTATTCATGGGGTTTCTGGTGCGCAAGCTGAAGTAGTTAAATTACAAAATCTTAAAAAGGTTACATGAGTTGTATAATATCTTAACCATAATAATATCTTTATTTTTTTTTTCTATTTAAATGTTTGGACATTTTACCCGGACCAGTTATTTTGTTTACTTGGGCTTGCTATATTGAGCTGGGGGGGGGGGGTGACCTAGTTAATTGATGAGTGATTTGCTATGCTGTGACTAGCCAGCCGAGGGCAGTGTATGAGAGGGTATTTTACTGCATTGTAATATAAGCAGGTTTGTATCTGTACTGGAGAAGTTCTCCTATAAGGACAGTCATTTTGCAGGATGCCCCTCTCTGGTTACACATGCAGATTCAAAGGGTTTCTCGTGTTTTGATATTAGCATACTAGTAATTCTTTTAAATTATTTATAATGTATCAGTTCTTGCCTTCTGGTACCGTCAGACAGAAACCTGTTCAACAAATAGTTACAGAATAGCCTTCCCAAGTATTCAGCAATGGTTGTTGATTTCTAACTTGGCTATTGATTATTCCCAAGTACTCAAACCTGTGTTGTAAGTGACGTGGGCATGCAGTGTGTGCCAGAGGAGAGGATACATTATATGCTGAGCTCCAGGCCATGTTGCATTGATATGTCTTTGGTTCCGGTCCATTTACAGTGATTTGTTACCTGCCCGCATTACTCTGCGGTGATGCCCTATATAAAGGTAGATGTAGAAACAAATATCCAAATCCTCCATGGTAGCTCAGTCCACTGAGGGCTTGTGCTCTTATTCGTTCGGAACAGAAACAACCTGAATCTGAACATGGTATCCTTTGACTGTCAGTTTTCCCTTTGGCACTACAGTTTAACCTGTTTATGGTTTAGATTAAAAAGGACCAGTGTAACTGTTTGTGCCTGTTAGTTTCCATCCACACTGTATCTGTCCCTGTCTTTATCAGTTTTACTTTCAAAGCAAAGCCTCTGTCCTCCAGATCTGGACTCACAAGTTGTTCTCTTTCATGTTGTTAGGTAAACCTAACCATGGACAAACCAGACCGATGGTGAGAGAACCTTCCTCAGTGGCGGAGCACTCTGTGGGTCCTGGCCTTGTATTTGTGGGTTCCTGTAGTGTAGAACAATGTTTCTCAAACTGGTCCTTGGGGAACCCTAGATGGTCCATGTTTTTTCTCCCTCCCAGCTCCCTCTTGACCTGACCAGAAATGTGGACTGTGTGGCAGGGAGTTGAGAGAGAGAGAGAGCAAAAATCTGGACCATATGGGGGTCCCAGAAGACCAGTTTGAGAAACACTGATTTAGAAGACACAGAGGGGGTACTGGGGGTTGGGGGATGGTAGGGGAAATGGGGTGGGTGGCTACCAGTGGAGTTGCCCCAAGCTATTCTGTCCTCAGATCTACTCAGGGAATCGTCTGATCAGAGCTGGAGCATCCCTACCCTAGTAAAGAGGTGTAGAATGGGTATGTCATAAGTATCCCTAACCCCAGTAAGGATGAGCTGTACCAACATTCCATAGGCAAGAGAGAGGTTGTCCTTAAACAGCCTTTATCAAGCTGGCAAAACCAAGCCAGGAAAATCAGCAGATGATTTGGCAACATTAGAAAAAGCCAAAAGTCAGAGACTCTTTCTGAAATCTGTCGGATATGCCAGGCTATCAATGCCCCGTAAGTGCTGGCACCTTACAGGCCGTCCAGGGTAAGACTGTCATGAGTCTGATGGGCCAGAAGCAATGACCTTTTGAACATAAACTTGGAATACCTAAAAGATTGAATGGTTTCTAAACAATTAACCAGTTCACATTTAGGGTGATTATAGAAATGTACAACACTATGCTCCAATTACATATTTTTAAGTTGCTGATTGTCTATGTCTATTACCCATTCCTTAGGCTACCTTTGAGGCAGTGTTAGCCTGGCCTCTATTTAATAGTGGTAAACTTAAGGCATTTTTCTTTTTGACTGTGGGATAAACGGTCGCAGTTCACGTAGTTCTGGTTCACACAGTAGCAGGTGTCATGTGGTGATGTGCCTGTTTTGTGGGATGGATCTCCACTGCATGTTTGCTTTCACCAAGGTTTGCCATTGTGACACATGCCTGCCTTGCTCACTGGTGGCCAACAGGAACAGCTAGGCCACAGTAATAGTAGGTCACTGCTTGCACCTGGATGTGTCCTCACAGATGCTGAGCTAAGGCTGAGCTAAACAAGCCAAAGGAGTGAGGGAAGGGGATTTTAACTGTAGTATGCTGTCTGCCTTTGTTGTTATGATGTAGCAAATCAGAATGCCTTATATAAACTTAGTCGCATAACTTAATAAACATAATCACAGCCCAAATCAGTTCACTAAAGCAACAATTCTAAGAATTTGACCATGTGAAAAATATTTTCATATTCCACAGATGACAATGCAGACAAACGGTCACGTTGGATGACCCCTTGTGAGGTGTTCCGTTGGTTAACTTGTGTTGGCTGAAGCCTTGAGGCATCATGCTATGATGGTAGAGCATACTTGAAAAACAAGTCACACTTCACTGAATTTGTCATGCAGCCTCCCATGGTTGCACATATCTGCATAACATTACTAGTAAGCTAATTATAGCCATATGATTTTCTGCTACTAGTAGAGCCCTTCCTCAGCACCCTTGTAAAACAATGTGATTGCAGGCCAGTACTATATGAGTATGTGATATGTACACGTAGTCTGATATTGAATAATTAACATCTGGAATTATTAATCTCCTGCGCAACTATGACAATGAGAAAATGTATGTAAAATTGTATTTGTATGTATGGTGTTTTTTTCCCCCCAAGTCAGATTTTCAGTTGTATCCAGTTCTGTAGATGACTCATGTGTCCCCCTTGGAACCCTGATACTGCGTAGCAAATCTCCGGCCACCATACCAGAGATCTGCACTCTGAGTGTTTTGGGCAAGGATTCCTCTGCCCGTCGGCAGCTAGAAACCTGAGAAGTCACTTCCTGGCCGACAGTCCAGATGCCATGTCTTGTTAATCCCTCTCTTTCTCAGTCTGAATTGTGTCAGTTTGTTCTCCTGGTCAGTGTTGGTAAATAACAGAATCTCAGGGAGAATGACTCAAGCAGCCAAGACCCTGATAAATGTTGTGTAACAGTTGTTCCCCTGTAAGGTGCTCCTCCCATGTTTTTTTGGCCTGTTGTCAGTTTCTGGAGGGTTTAGCTTTTCACGTAAAAGCACTCAAGAAGGAAAGTGTGTTTGTGGCAGTTCTTCTTAGGGATGCTCCAGGGCTCGCTCAGGGTTCCCTGTCCCCTCTCCTCTCCTCTCTTCTCCTCTCCTCTCCTGTCTTCTTATTCTCTACATTGTGTAAGTCACTCACGTCATAAAACAATTATTTTTGTCTCACTAGGACATTGTTAGCTTTTATTAACTGATACGTGCTCAGTGGATCACATACAGACAAATGCTTAGCAAACACTCCTGTAGTGGATTGTGAAAGGATTCTAGTAAGAACTGATATCTAGAAATATTAATTATGACACTGGTGTGAATTTCAAACTGCTAAACTAGACTTTTAGATTGTGGTTTAATTTTTCTTCTGATTGCCAGTTACAATTAATGATGTATTAATGAAAAAAAAAATTAAAATAATTGGCTGGATTAATACAACTGTAAAAGGCAGCTTTTTTTTTTTTTTTGTCTTGGGCGGTCACTTTGAGACTTAGAGATGACAAGCAGTTGATCAATGGGAGAAAAGTGAGATTTGATGTATATCCTGTGTTTCTGCACACAACAGGAGCTGAAGATGCAAACAGCTCTTAGGGAACCTTTGTGCTATCTAGCTGCCCGGCCGCACTCTGCCATGGTGTCTCCACTGGGCTTATGTTGCCTGGCTGATTCAATCTGCATGGTCATTTTATACGTTCAAACAACTGCCGCTCTCTGTCTCTGTCTTGCATCATCTCCTAGGCGGTAGGTCCAAAGCCCAGGCACCATGTTGGGAGATCCTGTCCAAGCGGCAGAATGACCCAGGGTGGCTTCCTGCCCCCCAAAAAGAGGCAGTGCACAAACTGGACTGACCCCTGCGGAGAACTCTACTTCCTGGCGAAAGAAGGGACAAGGTAAGTATCTGGGCTCTCCTGGATGTCTCACACAAACTGCACTGTGAGGATCGGCTGCTGGACCTGCTCTGTACAGTCTGCCTTTGTCAATTTCACACTCTTGCCTCTTGTTATTGTAGACAAATCAAGCGGCTTCTGTCAGCCAGACAGATCCGGAGAGCCGCCCGGAGGCCCCACCAGCCAATCACTGTCCTTTCCTGTCAGTCTGGCCCTTCTTTGCGTATACCTGCCATTGATGAGCCAATCGTCATCGAAGACTGAAATCCATTGTAGCCAATCAAGACAAACCTGACTCTGGTGGATTGTGTTTATTATGATATGTATTGGTATAAATATTGTTATTGTATTTTTTTTGTACGAACGATAACCGCTATTGATATACAGCAATGAAATGTTTTGAAGCTTGTGAAATTGTTTGCATTCTGAACGAATGAAGTGATGGGACTTTGTAACATGCCTCATGGGTCTTTTTTATGCATTACAAGGAAATATATATCTAAAAATTGGGAAAAATGATTTGTTTTCTTTTTTTGTAAGTTCCTGGTTATCAGTTTTGTGAACTAGTCCCATCTTTGTCCCAAACAGTTTAATTTATTGAAGGAAAATGTGCCTTTCTATCTTTCTCATAACTTTTGCATCAGCCCTTTATGTTATTGAAAAAAATAAATTGATTATTCTTTGTGAGAAAAAGGATGCACAAAATTACATCACTTTTAAAGGTATGATTCTTAACACCTAAACTGTTCTTTAAATTTGATTAAACCTGTTTTACATTGTGTATTTGCACTTACAAATGTATGGTGTGCCTAATGCAGTGGGATATGGATCTGCAGTAGATGGTAACTGGGACAACAAGTGAATGCAACCAGAGGAGCACAATAGTGGATGATGGAGGTCTGCTTCAGGTGATGAGTGGCTGCTTGCTGCTCTTCTCCCCCAGCTGTCCACACTGGTATGGGCAGGTGGTGATTTTCAGTCTGACTTTGGGTTCAGGGAGCAAGTTGGATGTGCTGATGGGGTCGAGTCAGGCAGGAAAGGTCTTCTGTAGCCTGTCCTGACAGAAATGAACCCCTTGAAGGTCCACAAATCGATTAACCCCTGGCCCACCACAATGAGGACCAGGCCTTCACATAGCGCTGGGACCTCATCCAAAGATAGTGGGGGGATTTGGGGGGTCAATACATAGATTTTTTAAATAAATAGTGCAAAGAGGGGAAAAGCGAGTACATAGAAAAGATACCTGGTGTGAAACGCTAAAAGAATGGAAATTATAACGAGGGGAGTAGGGTAGAATACCCTGTGACAGAGAAAGAAACCCAATATTTAATCTCTAGCTGAGACACGGGAAGTGTGATGTCAGAAAAGGAAGTACATACTAAAACAAATGCAAAAAGGAAGGAATAACATTCAGATCTGAATTGATAGCTGCTGTTTGAGTAATGCCAAACAATTCAGTTTTGTTTAAATTTTTTTATTGACCTTCCTTTGTCTATGTGATCATTTGCATTATGGACGTAATTTAGCAAAACATAATATGTGCAAAGGAGTATATATAGATCATTAATTGCAGTAAAAACATCCGGATCTTCGGCATGTTTTGGAGGGCGTCGGTTCGGACGTGAAACGCGGCTGAGTTGATGGCCTTTTTGAGGGTGCGCTGTCCGTGTCTTAATGTGAAACGTACGCGCTGCGATCTGGCAGGGAAACGAGGAAGTAGGTGAGTCGAGGTAACGGAGGAGATTGACTGACTTAACACTTTAATGCTAATGAATATTAACGATGTCACTTTTGGGGAAATTGTATTTTATGGCCATCGGCCGTAGATGACCAGAAACCACGGTAATGGGAGCAAAATGGAAGATTCATTTAACATAAGCTGTTCTTTGTCCTGCGATTGTCTTTATTGACGCAACGTTCATTTCTGTAACACATTTGAAGCATACTGGTGAGTATTTAAGGCTACAGCACCTGTAATGTGCGGATGTAAATAGTCCCGGTAGTCTACGAAGTGTGCTATCGTTGTCAGGCGCAGTGTGTCACTGTCATGCAGAGGACCCGGCGTTATACCGGCTGCTGCGTCTTTTCAGTTCAGCCGACACTCTTCCTGATTGTCGGAGATCGACCGATGCCGGGACATGTGTGCTCTTTTGTCAAATGAGAACATCATCTGGAATAATTAGTAGAAAATAGTTTGTTAATTGACAATCACTGAAAACACGTAAGTCTGCACTGAATTTTTAACGAACTTTTTATATGAAAGGAAGTTATCTATGCAAAACGTTGCTGACGGATGAGGTTGCTTGTTGGCGGGAGAAAATAATAAACAGTTCCGGCGAAGAGACACAGTTATCTGCTATCTGCTCTTCCAAAGTAACATCGGTGAAGGTCATGGCCGTTATAATTAACGCGTTACTGTTTATTAGCTGTATCTTTATATGCTGAGTTGCTAAGTTAACGCGTGTACTGTATTCAGTGCAGCTTAGCGGACGGATAAAGGGCAAACGAGTCAGTTGCTGCGTTTTTATGCGATGCATTTACTTGATTTGGGGTGCATATGCAAAGCCCATATTGTTATTTTTGACTTCCTGCTAAGCGGTTTGAAGAGACAACAAAATTAGCTTTCCTTTATAATACAGTGCTCAAAATTTTTGGTCGCCATTGTAGTATTATTATAAATATAGGGAAATGTAAATAGAAAATAAGTGGACTGCAGGTTAATAAAACATTCGAATGGGTGTTTATTATTCACAAATCAAGGATTTACTTCCTCCTGGGTATTTAGTAGGTAATAAATCGTCTACAGTGATATAATTAGTGGGCATTACACTGGGCCTGGTAAAATGTGATTGAATCCTCCTGTTTTACAGTGGGAGGTGAGAGGTAATAAATAATAATAAACAGATTTTGATATGTTTCATCAGACTAGATAGTGATGGGACACTTTTTTGGGGAAGTTACTTGGTGTATCATATCTGCAATTTTTATGTTTTTGTAATGTCTGGTGACAAACTTACAACACTAATATATTACAAATTATATCCTGGTGTGGGGAGATTGGGTTCAGAAGGGTATGATATCATGCCACTTAAGTCAGCCTCTGGCTCAGACCATCTGTGATACTGTGTGTTGGTCATTTGGGTTTAATAACAGCCTTTCTTGTAGTGATGGCATTGACCAAATATTGGTTCTGCTCCTGTTTCTCTGTGTTTATGGGCCAACCGAAATCGTGGAGGTCTGCAGGTTTCATTCTGCTTTTTGATGGTGTGGTACATATATGGTCTGTTTGGTGTGTGATGTGCACCTCATCCTGCCAGCCTCCTGCCTGTGAGATGATGAGTTTCTGTGTCCCCAGGTTACTTATCCTGGATACCACAGCCCTCAACTTACAACTTAGGAACCCATCTGATTATCAGCAATTACACAGCTCTTAATATTAGAATGCTGAGGTCCAGGATAGCATACTATTAAATGTCTAAAAGGTTGTTCAGTTGGTGAGCTGGAATGTTTACATGGTTTAATGTGGTCACTTGTAATTTGCCTCTAGATTTTCGGTGCAGGTATAATGGCGGAGAGCTGCTGAAGATGGGTGATGCGGGGACTTGTACGGCAGTATACTTGCTTGCTGTGCTTAATTTACAGTTTTTCTTATACAGTAAGTGATTATGACTACCAGATGAGGCATTTATAAAATAGCTAACAACCTTGATTAGAAAGTTAATATAAACAGACTGGCAGGTAGCGGGGAGGGTAAAGTTAGTGCACGTACAGTTCATCTAATATCAAGTCATAGGGCTGACATAACGTCTTCATGGTCAGTGTGAGTTAGTGGCGATGCGCTCAAAAAGGTAGAGTGATGTCAGCACTCAGGGAACCTGCATTAACGATTTGGGGGGCGGGGGGTTACAGGGATGGTGGCGGGGGGGGACAGACAACATCAGTTCCAGGATCCGTTTCCCTACAGGTAGCCTGGATTTCTCGTCACGTCCAGCCCTCCATGTCTCTGCCTGGTCATCTCTCCTTTCTGCTCCCTGCCCCCCCCCGCTCTCTCTCGCCATCTCTGTGCCGTCCGCCCTTGTTTGCATCACTGTGCAAACACTTTAAAAAGGGAGGCTTTCAGAGGGAGGAGGGCAAGGCAGAGTCGCGTCGTGACGAGAGGGATGAAGAACCAGATGGTTCGGCAGCAACCAATCCCCCCCCCCCTCGGTTCCCAATCACGTGACACGCCTCGGAGCCATTCTAAGGACCGGCGTTTGTATTTCCATCAGCTGCATTCATTACAGCTGACATTGGTACAATGCTTCCAGGGCCCTATGTTTAAGGTTACAACTGACTTGCCAAGTACATTCTTATAAGGTGGCTATAGATTGTGAACTTTTTGCATTGGAAAGGCTGTAAGGAACCTTTTTGTTCTCCAAAACCAATGGAGCACATTCCTGCAGGATTATTGACGCTCACAGTAATCGTCAACCTTTTGTTTTCACATTTCTTTTTTGTGTGTTTGTTGGGTGCTTTATTGTATCACTGTTGTACAGCTTGACGTCCTTGTGATTCACAAGAATGTTTTGTCATGACACTGAGCTGCCTATGATGGGAATTTAATGCAGCTCTCCTGTAGTTCAGATGTACAGTCGTGCCAAAAAGTTTACATACACTGGAGCATAATATGCTCAACTTCCATTTTGATATAATTTCCTGTGTAATATTCATCATTAAGTGCATTCCTACAATAATTTCAACCAGTCTTCTTTATTTCCATGAATAATTACAGAAACTCTTTCACTTTCAATGGTTTTCCTCCTTCTTCATGGTGCCATCTATCTTACACAGTGATCCTGGACCACTAGCAGCAAAACAGCCCCATAGCATGATGCTGCCACAATTATGCTTCACAGTGTTCTTTGGGTTCTATGTTCTTTGGGTTGAGGGCCTCTCCTTTTTGTTTTGCCAAACATACTGTTGGTCATTAGAGCCAAAAAGTCCATCTTCTTTTCATCAGACCAAAGAAGCCTTTATCTTTATCCTTGTGCTTTCTTGCATATTCCAGCCTCGCCTTAAGGTGGCGTTCTTGAAGAAGGGGCTTTCTTCGTGCTCTGCAGCCCCTTAGCCCATTACGATGTAGGACCCTCTGGACTGTGGACAGTGAGACATTGATTCCTGAAGCCTTCAATTCTTGGCATACTTGTTTCGTTGTCATCTTGGGATTGAAGCGGACCTTTCGAACCAATGCCCTCTCATCGGTTGGTGTCAATTTCAATTTCCGGCCTGATTTTTTTAGGGTCTTAACTGTGCCAGACTTTTTATATCTCTGTACAGTTGTCTGGACGGATGACCTCTGTACTCCTAGTTGTCTGGCTATGGCATCTAGAGAGTTTCCCGACTTCTGCAGCTGCATTATTGAGTGTTATTTTCCTATCCCCATGTTGGATCAAGTAGAAATGAGGCATTAGCAGGTAACTCTGGTCCTTTATACAGCCCTGGTTGCACAACCTGAACCAGTAGGACACACATGAAAACCATTTGGGGATAATCCATGCGGAAAAAAGCACCAGATCACCCTGGTGTATGTAAACTTTTGACCTACTAATTTTGTAGCTTCATTAACTGAACTGTGAATAAAACCATTGAAAATGAAAGAGCTGTTGAAATCAGTCATGGAAATGAAAGAGATTGGTTGACATTATTATAGGAATGCATTGAATGTTGGATATTAAACAGTAAATGATATATAAATAGAAGCTGAATGTATTTCACTTAGGTGCATGTAAACTTTTGGGCACGACTGTATCTCCAGCCAAGCCAAGGCTACCCAACCCTCGACCAGGGTACTCTGAAGAGATTCAGGAAGGGACGACAAACAGAGGCACAGATAATCCACACCTGAGGTCCTGGATTAATGAGAAGGAACTGATGGAATTTGAAACAATGAAAATATTTAAAGGAGTGATATTTCTGCTTAAGGCTTTCTCATTAAGCCATGAAGAGCTGTGCTGTATCTGACACCAGAGTAGTGACCCCTACCTGTGTCTAAGCATACTAACTCTGTGGGGAAGCCGGTTCATCTGCTATGAGTTTAAACGGAGCATGATAACACCAACCTTTGTACAGAAGACCCAGTTTCTTTTTCCTGCTTGCCCTATTCTGCCGTTTTAGGTGCCATTTCCCCTAATTACTTGCTGTGTCATCTAATGCAATGTGTAATTATCATCCTGAGAATTTTTTTTTTCTTTTGTACATATTTCTTTCCTGGCAGATCACGAAATTTCAAGTCTATAACTACAAGTGCTGCTTATACAGTGAGATACTGGGACCCCTTTTTCTAGCCCTCTGGTGGACACTTTATGTAGTGCAGATTTCAGTGTAAATTGACCGCGCGTACACCGTTTGTTGTTGTTGTTTGTCCAGTGTCGCAACAAGCCAAACTGCTGGACACTGAGGACCGGGACAGGGCAGCACAGTATTAAATACTTGTTTACCTTTTCTTTTTTTTGTAGTAATCGCCTGCAGTCAGGTTGGGGGCCCTGGGGATGGAGAATAAAACTACTTAGTTTCCCACCAAACCTCTAGATGCACCCAAACTGTTACCCTCTCTGTTCTGCTGTATTATACCACTGGTTAATAACCAGTCATTCGTTCGCAAACACAATCCGTTCCAGGAAACTGGTCGCAAAGATGCAAACCATTTTGTACGTGAACCAAGGCAATTTTTCCCATAACAATGCATTAAAATTCGATTAATTCGTTCAAGGGCCTACCAAATAATAATTTTTTTTAATATATTTTCTTGTTTTTATAGTAAAAACTTTAAAGAAAAACACAATATAGTATAAAAAAGCATTAATAAAAGAAACTTATTAGCTAAAGTAAAAAACAATATACAATAGTGTAAAATGAAGTTCACACTATGCTTACCTTTGTAAGGGGGAGTTCGGGAGTGAAGGAATAGAGGGGGGGGGGGGGGTTGGGGGGCTACTGTTTGGAAGGAGAGTCTCCTTCTATTGGAACAGTTGGAAACTGTTCAAGAGTGCTCTCTCCTTACTCGCTTGGCCTTTGGTTCGTTGATCACCTGTGGTTCATCTGTATCCTGTTTGAGCGTAACCTCAGGTTTGTTCGTGGCCTCTTGTTTTGACAGTTTCACTAAAAATCTGCCAATTGAGACTTGCCTTTTTCTGAAGAATATTTCTAAAATACGACATCACTTTTTCATTCATTTGGTTAACAGTTCTATTCACTTCAGCTTTGTTGGGGTGGTACAGTTCCACTTCAGTCCACTTAGCACAAATTTCTTTCATCATTTCATTGGTAGCCTCCCCCACTTCGTCTTCCTCCTCCGAATGCTCCTACTCATGATCCGCTGCTCCTTGTACAGTTCGATGAGTTCCTCAGTTGTTAATGCGTCCTTATCATCATGAACCAGCTCCTCCACACCTTCATTGTCAACTTCCAGGCCCATGTGTTTATCCATTTTTACAATATCCTCCACTACATGTTGTTCCTCCACATCATAACTTTCTTCAAAGCCTTCAAAATCTCTTTCAGGGGCAGCTTCTGGCCACAGTTTCGTCCACTTGATTATCCATGGGCTGCAGCAGGGATGTTGTGTTCAGTGGCGGGAACTTTATCTTGTAACCCTTACAACTTACTCGGGGTCCAGCTCATCCACTATGGCTTTCGAGTGTGTGCCGTGGCATTGTCTGTGATCAGGAGGCACCTAAGGGGCAGATTCTTCTCCATGAGATATCGCTTCACGGAGGGCGCAAACTCATCATTCAGCCATATCTTGAACAGTACCCTCATCACCCAAGGCCTAGTATTTGACCTCCACATAACTGGCAGTTTTGGCAGTAACTGGCAGACGACGTTGTTTCTCTTGAAGACGCGAGGATTTTCAGAGTGATAAACAACCGTCGGCTTCACTCTGAAATCCCCGCTTACGTTCGCACACATCAAAAGCATGAGTCTTCATAGGCTGTGGCCTGGCGATGCCTTCTCCTCTTGCGTTATGTACGTTCACTTCGGCATCTTCTTCCAAAACAAACCAGCCTCATTGCAATTGAAAACTTGGTCTATGACATAGCTTTCTGCATTCGCGAACTGGATGAATGCTTTTGCATACACTTCCGCGGCTTTCTTGTCTGCATTCGCTGCTTCGCCGTGCCATACCACACTATGGATGCCATTTCTTTTCTTGAAATTGTCGAACCAACCTCTACTGGCTTTGAACTCTTCAACATCATCACTCGTGCCTGGAGTTTTCTTCCTCAGATCGTCGTGCAAACTTCTCGCTTTTTCACAAATCATGGCCTCACTGATGCTGTCACCTGCCGTTTGTTTCGCTTGAATCCCAATTAATAAAAGCTTCTTGACTTGCTGTAACACTTGAGACTTTTGCTTGGTTAAAGCAGTTACCCCTTTTGCCACATCAGATGCTTTGATGGCCTCTTTTCAAAATTGTCGAGATCGTCTACTAAGGTATCTTGTACTCAGACGCTAGGTTGCTTTTCAATAAATTCTTTTTTATGATGATTTTCTTAACCACCATCTTCTTAACACCACTAGGAACACTTCTCACTTTCTTGGTAGACATGGTTCACAAATTATGCACAAAAATCAAACAAAGGTTGAAATGGCTTTAAGGCACTTAGAGCAAGTGTGAGCACCTCCAATGGCTGCTAGAGACCGATACGTACGCATTGGTGTCAGTCGAGGAATCTGTTCCTCAGCCAAATTTTGTACGCGAACCAATGCATTTTTTTCACTAAATTTTTACCTTATACTAACCAGTGATATTTTACCTTATACTAATGAGTGGTACTTTACCTTATACTAATGAGTGATACTTTACCTTATACTAATGAGTGGTACTTTACCTTATACTAATGAGTGGTACTTTACCTTATACTAATGAGTGGTACTTTACCTTATACTAATGAGTGGTACTTTACCTTATACTAATGAGTGATACTTTACCTTATACTAATGAGTGATACTTTACCTTATACTAGTAGTAGAAATAAGCAGTGGAGTCCTGCAGTTAAGCTATTTTTTTCTATTCATTTTCAATTAGCACTTCATTAACACCTGGAACAGCGGGTCAAGGCACTTTGCATCCATATATTCCACTATACCATTAGCATAGCAGGCAGAATGATGACTGACTATTTGTGCAAGCACTTTACATTTATGGATTTAAAATGGGATTGACATGAGTAATGGGATTGTTCAGGCTTGATGGAGAGGGTCCTGCTCGAGGCTTGAAAGGGACTGTAGCTGAAGAAGCTGCTGGTCAGGTTGTGATGTTTAATTCCACGTCTGTGTCAGATGGGTGGTGAGGTTTGAATCTGTTGTTATAGTTTTCATTTTTAAATTTCGTTCTCTTTTTTTATATTTTTCATTTGAAATCCTGTTTAGTTTATAGTCTTCAGTGTTGTCAGTTTTCATTTAATTTCATTTCTGTTTCTTGCTTCTTTCTTCTCAAAAACAAAATATTCTGTCTGTTTCCCAGAATCTCCACCACCTGCACAAGAAACATGGCCACCAGGACAACGAGCCTGGAGCCCCTGACCACGCTCTCACGTTGGTACCTGTACGCCATCCACGGATATTTCTGTGAGGTCATGTTCACGGCAGCCTGGGAGTTTGTGGTTAACTGGAACTGGAAGTTCCCTGGCGTGACCAGTGTGTGGGCACTCTTCATCTACGGCACATGTATCCTGACTGTGGAGCGCATGTATTTGTGGCTGCGGGGCCGCTGCCCAGTGCTTTTGCGGTGTGTCATCTACACGCTCTGGACGTACCTGTGGGAGTTCGGGACAGGGTTTCTGCTGCGCCAGTTCAATGCCTGTCCCTGGGACTACTCCCAGTTTCGGTACAATTTCATGGGCTTGATCACAGCTGAGTATGCCCTGCCCTGGTTCTGTGCTTCCTTCATTATGGAGCGGCTGGTCATCCGGAACACATTGAGGCTACGTTACGATGAAACTGCAGAGCTAGATGCTTTCAGCACTGCCCCCTACAGGTTGGGAGGACCAGTTACCAATGGTTATTTTAAAGTGGACTGAGGACAGTTACGGATACATTTCACCACTGATATTATAGCTCCTGTATGTTAACTGGAAAGACACTGAAAACTGAAGTCTGAGGGATGTTTTCTATTGGACCTCAGCTGCTCTATGTTTTAGGGCAAGCAGACAGGCCAGTCTTAAGAGGCTGTCTGGGCTGGCCTGTGGAGGGAAAGGGAATTCTTTGCGTTAAATAGCCACTCAATATGACAGCGTGGCATAATTCCTCCTATAGATGGACTTTTGGGACAGAGGAATGAAAGTGGTACAACTGTACAATTGATGAATTATTTTATTTTCATAGCCAATAGAAGACCTTATTTCTGAAATTCATTAACATTGGCTACATAGGAGGGTGGTGTGTGGTTCAGCGGATTAGGGCGATTTGCCTGCAATCAGAAGGTCATCCCAAAACAACACAAATCCCAGCATCAGCAGAGTGGTTACACCATTGGGCCTTTGAGCAAGTCCAGGGATTGTCTGCCCCTGCTTTCTCAAAAAAATTGATAAAAGTGTCTGCTAAATAAATAAAATGTATCATTTATTCATTTATTTTGAAGTTATTACTATGGTCTTTTTATATGTTTTTTCTAAGCCTGTGTAATCTATGCTCTGACCAGAATATTTGCTTTGGTGGCTTAAAAAATGAATTGACTCCCAATTAGTGAATTGGGAAAATACATGTATCTCAGGAATAATCAAAATAAAACTGTTTTTTCCTGCAGTGACTGTAGTGTATTAAAATCTGAACCCTTTCAATCAGACCGAAGTGTATTGATTTCATCAGCACTGAAATGTTTTAATGTAGCCTGCGCCCCCTGTGTGTGTTTATGTATATTGTATATTTGTTAAGTGGTTTTACACGAATATTTAGGGCATATTTACGGAAAAGGACTTGTACATTATGGCTAGTCTTTGAATATCTGCTGTTGCGTTATTTGACGCGTGCGCAGCATTTTTGATGTTTCCTTGCCAGAATGAAGCAGCGGTAAATATAAGCTGGTTTGTAATGCGCTTGACCCCTTTTCAGGTGTTTTAACAACCAAGCAGTAGTGAAACAAACATTTCTGCATGAATTGAAGGAAGCTGCGGTAAACATTAATGTGTCCAGCACTGAAACTCAGTTTCAGCTGACCAGGTTTTTACTGTGGAAGAAAAGGGAAGAATCACGGGATTTCTGGAGACGTCCATCCAGGTCACGGCTTCGTCACACTACATTGACCATGATGCCTTGCGCCTACGCGCCGACTTTTTGAATGCTAGGTTTGTTATAGTGTTACAGTGAAGTTCACTGTAAAGTGTTTTGCACCTAAGTATAATTTATTAAAATTGTCCGCATAGTTTAACCATAGTCACTTCTGCATAATGTTCCAGCTGCATTTTATGTGAGGGAAAAATTCGGGGGTGCTCACCGACTAGCTAGCTACCTAACCCTTTTCGTATAATGGGAAGTAAAAAGCTAAGAAGGACAAACCTGTCCGCAGAGATATGCAGCAGGTTAAACAGCCACCGTATCGAGACTTGTCGGGTAAGGAGGCGCCGGCTGCGTGTCGCTGAAGATGCCGGCTCAGGCAAACTTCACAGGCTTCAACTTTATTTAATCTTCTCGCAATAGGTGGCTACATGCTAACGAATGGCCTTACTATGAAAGTAACTTTCCTATGAAAGCTGGCTAATTGAGTTTTTACCCAATGTATGCCTGGTTAGCTATAGCACAGCATTGTTACTAGTTGCTGCAGTCTGCTGTCAAGCCAGCCAGACCGACTTAACCCAGAGAAAATATGCTTTGCAGTGTTACCTAAGCCAACGTTAACTTTAGCTCGATAATGTTCGGGTTAGCCGTGGTCTGTATGATTCGACAAATTCAGCTTTTATACAGGTGATGTGGTTGTCACATTTGATACAGTTTTATAGGCGAAATGTTTTCAAACTAAGTGTGGTGGTCTGGAAATTCAGGTGCTTTCAGATGTCTTTTTTAATGGGGTAGGATAACCCCCCTCCCCCCAAGCAGTCAGGTACCCTATCTCAGATAATGTGGCCATGAAGCACAGAGAAAGAGCCACTCAGTAAAGACGTGCCTATTGCCATAATGTGGGAACACTAGACCCCCACGGACCACAGTCCCAGGAATCAGAAAAAATGGCTCCTGTGTAGATTCCTAGGCGGTCAGGGCAGTGGAAATCTATTCTTTGGCTTGACGTTCATATAGATGGTTTATGCTGCTCCCCCACGTGCAGGACCTGCTGTCCCTCACACCCCTGGAGGTGATGCGTGTGGCAGGGGTGAGCTACTCTCAAGCCTGCCAGCTGCTGAAGACCACCAGCCAAGCCTGTGCTCCCAAAATGACTACGGTAACAGCCAGCATCCCCCTCCTGCCTTCTTGGCAATGTGACCTGACCAAGTGTATATAGTGGGCAGCATATTGTAACAGGATTGGTGTGGGTCATGGTTTTTATCAATAGGAGGCAGCTTTCTGTAAGACAGACTAAAGTTCTGTGATTATATAACATGCAGTGCCAGATGTAATAAGCAGTGGCACACACAAGGGAAACAGCGATCGACATCACACACAGGGTGGGCACTAGCAATGCACATGCACCCCAATTTAAACATTACAGTGGTCTAACGTATTATGTACAACATAAAATACACGACCGCACACAGTAAATAAGAGAATTTCATGCAAGCTCGGTGCCATGCTGGTATTCTGAATAATCAGTCTCTTGGAACGGGCCGCATGGTGTCACAGTGTATATTTTGGGAATTTCATTGTGCTGAATTCTTTATCCAAAGCAGCAGCTTTAACTTATTTATGCAACTGCATGGCTTTCAGCTGCTGCCATTTTAGAGCTCTTAAGTTTGATCTAATGGAAAATGATTTCAATTATTTAATTTCAGCTGATTTAGTGGTTTTAGTTTGATGGTGTACATCTCTTTCATATCCTTATACTGTATTAATGGTGTACTGTACATTCCGCTATTAAGACTTATTGATATTTTCCAGTATTTTAAATCATGATAATGTCTCTTGATTCCCTTCTTTTTGCTGCATGGCAGTGATAATATTTTTTCTTATCAGTCAGTGATGTGACATATTACTTCCCTCCTTCCATCAGGCCTTGGAGCTATGGAGGCAGAAGACTGGTCTTTATTTCCCAACCTCCCTCGCTGCTCTTGACCGGCTGCTGCAGGGGGGGCTGGCATGCGGCACGCTAACCGAGGTAGCCACCTACTAGCAGCCAGTGCAGCATTACAGGAACATGCTAAAACGGGTTTGGACTGATCACTTTGGGGAGGCCTAGTGAGGCAACTGTCATCCAGGCTTCAGTTTTAGGGCCGTCTGTCATTTAGATTGTTGTTGGAAAACCATCGGGATTCCTCAGTGTCTCTCAAAGCCTGTTGACATCTTTGACTTTTGGCTATTCACACTAGAATATGCATGCAGAATGTTTGAGTTGCGTTGGTGTAAAATCTAGGTTTATAGTCACAGTTTGTGTGTTAAAGAATCAAGTGGGGCAAAGTCAAGGTCTTCTTCAAATACAAGGAATGTGGTTAATAATAAAACCCTCCTTCATCCTCCAGGTAACAGGCCCCTCCGGTTGTGGTAAGAGCCAGCTGTGCATGATGCTCAGTGTGTTGGCCACTCTGCCGCACAGCATGGGCGGCCTCGACAGGGGGGTTCTCTACATCGACACAGAGTCTGCCTTCTCCGCTGAGAGGTGTCTTGCCCTTCCTTACTTTCTTCCTTCTTACTTCTTTTTGACTCTCCTCCTGGTTAAATTTGCAGACGACACCAAGGTGGGTGATGTAGCAGATACTGATCTAGCAGCACAGAGGCTACAACGGGATCTTGATTTAATTAGCGACTGGGCTGATACATGACAGATGAAATTTAACACAGATAAATGTAAGGTAATCCATGCAGGGAGCAGAAATATAAAGTACAGATATTTTATGGGTTCCACTGAAATAAAGGTAGCTGATTATGTGTATGTTGATGCTTCCATATCCCACTCTCGCCAGTGTGGGGAAGCAATAAAAAGGCCAGTAGGATGTTGGGTTACATCACTAGGTGTGTGGAGTTTAAGCCAAGGGAGGTGATGCTACGATTATATAATTCCTTGGTAAGACCCCACCTAGAATATTGTGTGTGGGTTTGGTCACCATACCTCAAGAAGGACATTGCTGCCTTGGAAAAGGGTCAACGTAGGGCTACAAGAATGATTCCTGGTCTTAGAGGAATGTCTTAGGAGAGGTTAGCTGAGCTGAATCTGTTTAGCCTCGAGCAAAGGAGACTAAGGGGGGACATGATCCAGGTATATAAGATTCTAATGGGTCTGGATGCTGTTCAGCTAAATGGCTACTTCAATATTAGTTTAAATACTAGAACTCGTGGCCAAAAGTGGAAATTAGCGGGAGAACATTTTAAAATGAATTTGAGAAAGCACTTCTTTACACAGCGTGTAGTTAGAGTATGGAATAGTCTTCCTGCTAGTGTAGTGGAAGCTAAAACCTGGGTTCCTTTAAATCAGAGCTAGATAAGATTTTAACAACTCTGAGCTTTTAGTTAAGTTCTCCCCAAACGAGCTTGATGGGCCAAATGGCCTCCTCTCGTTTGTAAATTTCTTATGTAAATGGAAGTGGAAGAACGCCGCCCTTTTCCCCACAGGCTGGTGGAGATCGCTCAAAGCAGATTCCCCGACTATTTCTCGGTGAGGGAGCGTGTGGAGGAGATGGCGAGCCGGGTGCACCTCTTCCGGGAGCTCACTTGCCGGGACGTCCAAAGTAGGTGAGCTGCCTGCTTTCGACATGAGCAGAGAAGCATTTCCTGCTGAAGGAGTCTTTCATTCTTTTATATCGCTTTATGTTTTGAACCTTTGGGAAGTGACGCATTTGCCCTGCAGTTGGTTACTCAGAAATGTGCTGTGAATCCTGAATAAAGAAAGAATGTTGGTAACATCACCTGTTATTCTGCCAGTTTGCTTTCAGTTCCATCCCGTCATGGTGATTACCTTGTCCTGCAGCCAGCTTCGTGTGCACACTCTGCTTCTAAATCCAGCTGCTATCTCGCTGTGAAGCATCTGCTTTTGCTGTACCCTGTATGTGTGTGTGGGAGCTTGAAGCTCCATCAGATAGTCTAGATCACCACTTTTCACGTGACTCCATGCAGACTGCAGAACTTGGAGGAGGACATCATCTCCTGCCGGGCTGGCCTGGTGGTGCTGGACTCTGTGGCGTCTGTGGTGAGGAAGGAGTTCGACCCATCACTCCCAGGGAATCTGGCGCACCGCAGCAACCTGCTGGGCCAACAGGCTGCCACCCTCAAGTACCTGGCCCAGGAGTTCAGCATCCCGGTGAGGACCGGAGGGAGAGCGCCCCCTGGAGTTCTCAAAGGCAACAGAAGTGATGCCTTTTAGTGGCCGACTGGCCTAGGAGCAATCGGAGTGACAGTGGAGATTGATGAGAGCCCTTTAAGTGCTGCCGCTCCCTCGTGAGCTTTCAGCCTGTCTTTGGATAGGGAGCGAGTGACTTGTCTGTGTAATGCAATACCTTTCTAATGGTATGCTGCCAGAGGCTTCTGCAACCCAGCTTATGAGAGCTGCAGTACTCACGTTCTGTCATTAGGTGGCTCTGCTTCACTTTTGAATATTCGGGATTCTCCTTAGTGCAGGAACATTAGGATAAGTTACTTTTTTTTTCTTTTTTTTTAATGCATGTATAACCGCTGGTCACAGATTAACATTGCAGATGTTCTTTTTAGAAATCAATAATAGTAGTTATTTGTCTAGTTTGTTCATTTCCCTCTGTTTACTCATTAGAGGGAAAATTCAAAAACATTTTTGAAATGCTTATAGCAGCTATTATTAAGATGGTGACCCTTCATTCAGTGTTGAGGTCAGTCTGTACTTAGCTCCTATTGCCAGGGCCTTCTCCTATTGCAGCCTGCCTAAGCATATGGTGGTCTTTCCCATGCAGTAATACCTTCCCATCTCCTGCCTCTCCTGCAGCCAGATCGCTGCGGGCCTGGATCCGTGCAGCCAGGCATAGTTTGTTTGCACACAGTTTTGCATGAGCGGTTGTGGAGCCTAGGAACACCCCCCCCCCCAATTTCTGATGCATTAACATCCAGTCCGCTCACATATCAACTTCACAACTGCCCACAATGATAAACAGAAGGGCTTCCTTTTGGAAACATATTGCAAGGAAGCAGCGATTTATAGAGGGTATAATCAAGTTTGCTGTTTTTATCACCCTGCAAGTTTACACTGAAAGATTGAGTTGAGGTGGCTCGCCTGTTTCCCAGAAATAGAGGAGCATGGTTGGTCCTGGCCTTCCACGCTAGGCTGCTCGATATTAACGATATTGCCGGTAAAAATCATAATGGCTCTATAATGTGGAATCGCAGACTGGCTGCAAACCGCACCGATTGTGTGTTGTGCAGTCAGTTAGATGGCTTTGTTGTGTCGCACCGTGGTGGCACGGTTCGTGCCCATATCAGGCAGGCTGCCAGCCGTTTGCATCCCTGCGGTGTAACGGCCGCAGCAGGGATTCCGGTTTCCTAGCCCTCGTCCCAACGGGGGCCTCAGCCAGCTAGATCCAGAGCTGTGGAGTGGCACGGGTGCATCAGCCTGGGTTTGGGCCCGGCTGCATGCTTTTCCCCAGACGCGCCGCGAAATGTTTCTGTGATGATGGAGTTTTCATGCTGCTGGCAGTTAGCAAGGCAGTGTTTGTTTGCTGCTGTGATTCGAAATGCAGGCCACACTGCTGGATTGACAGCTGAAACGTCATGAGAGGACTGCTCAGACCAGCGTGACCCTATGGCTCCCAGCGTCGTCGTCCTCCCCATCCCTAAGCGTTGCATTATAAAAGTGCTAGGTGTTTTTTTTTTCTTTTTCCCTTAAGTGATGTCAGTGTGGTGTTATGTAACTGGAACATTTGTCCCTGGTTTGGTCATGGCTGGGTCATTGCATCATGAAATCGCCCTTTCATGTTGGTTTGGGTGCTGCTGTTCACGTCTGTCATCACTAAGGAGTGGCTCAAACTCACCTGAGGGCAGGTACAGCACCTGTGAGAGCTCTACAACCAGCCCGCCCACTTTGCATGGGCCAATCGCGGCACAGGGCCTGAGGGCTGGTTGTGGTTCTGGCTTTTGTTCTGGTTGAAGGGCAGATGTGATGTGTAATGATACCGTGGGTGTTTTTCCTGTCTAGGTCAGAATAGCGTTGTTTGTCTTGAATAAGGTCCAGCAAAGTGAAGGAACAGTCCATTTTGTAGAACCTTGTACCTTGCAGAGCCAATATAAACAAGGCCCAATGTCTAAATCTTGGGGTTTTTTTTAAATGTCTTTTTAAGACCACTGAGGTAAATGAATCTGCATGGGAACTCTCTCCATACATGTCTGTTCTTGACTGGTCTAGCTATTGCTGCCAGAAAGGGCCAAACTCCGCTGCTGGAACATGTCGACCAGCGTGCGTCGGGCTCGCCCTGCAGTCAGCTGCACCGTCACGGTACGTTTGTGAGGGAAGGATGGGCTCTGCTCTTGGAAGCGCTGAAAGTGTCTCCATTCATGCTGCCAGTGACTTGAAAATAATGCTTGGCGTGCTCTTCTATTGGAGCTGTCCAGAGACTGCCATGTTTTCTGTCTGAAAGAGAAGAGTGGTCCATTGAGGGAATTCAGTGGGCCTGAGTCACTCTTTTCCCTGATCTACTGCTGCTTCTTTCTTTCACCCAACAAAGCATTAGGGTGCTGGTGGGCCCATGTGCCTCTCTCGCTCCATACTGCATGTGTGCCTGTCATAGGGCCTGTAGATTCCTCCATTCACTGAGCTGTGCAGCTCTGTGTGCTCTTGAGCTGTGCTGGAGGGCAGTACGTCGAAAGCAATTCCAGAATAAATGCCGAATTTCTAATAAAAGCAGGAACAACAAGGAAACGTGTGTTTGATATAATTACCCGTTTGGCCTGCAGTTGACTCTCTGAGGCTCAGGCTTTGGTCTCCTCGGTCTTCTGCCAGTCAGTGTGGAAAGATTGAACTCAGTGGAGGGCTGTAAAAGCTTTCATTCGAACCTGTTTCCAGCAGAAGGTCAGAGACAGACCTGGTCTGTCTCAGCCTAGCCAAAGCTGTCACAGCACACCAAATTCCCATGGGATCAACCTTACCTGCTGCCACAGGTACCATCTATCTTGGAATGCCCCTTCCATGCTGGCAAGAATACACCTGACTCTTGGCAGTGCTGCTGACCTGGGGGGTGAAACAATTTCTGGCAACCGGTGCAAATCATGAGTGCAGAATTGCTTCTCTCGAAAGGAATCAGAGTTTGGATGGAAGCTCTCTAAGACTGTAAAGTGCACATGCAGGGTTCGCACCTCGCAGGCAGGGCGGGGAATCGGGTGTTTTTTCTCGCTCTGCGTTTATTGCTTGCCGCCTCTGCTATTCCTGTGTGTCTGCAGGTGGGGCTTGCGTTCTTTATAGTGCAGGCTTTTGTTGCACTCGAGCAGTGTGTGGCTGTTGCTTCAGTGGCTAATCTGCCGGTGTTATCTTAGCGCGTATGTAAATGCGGCCCTCTTCATGGTCTGCCTCGCGGTGCTGCGTACGTGGCCCCCGCGGGACACCTGTGCTTCCCTTCCCGCTCCTTGCAGAGCGCCTGCCCGCTGCCCCAACCGCTACCGACGCTATCTCGCCTAGCTTTGCATAACGAGGACGCGGCAGCTTCGCGTGTGTTGCAGGCGTTTGCCTATTTACTTTTTATTCCTTGGGAACCGTCAACAGGAGGGAAATGGCCTCCCAGCTGGGCTCAGCCCGTCTCTGCCCTGCTAATTGCAGCAGAGATGAGTCGGTGCTTTAATTGTGTCGCTCCTCTTGCGCCGCTTTGGGCAGAGTAGCCAAAGCAGAGAGAGCGTCTCGCCAGAGGAACGGCAGCGAGGCCTGGCACAAAGGGAGCACTGTTTCTGTGTGGAGCACGCAGCCACTGTCAGACTAAATCAGCCTCGCACTGAACAAAAGCCGTACTCTTGAGGATTCCCTCTAATGATGACCCTACAGTAGCAGAGGCCCCTGTGAGTAGGAATGGGTCCCATTTTTCAGCTTACAGTTAGTCTGTTGACTTTATTGTTCTAGTGTGACTTCCCAGCAAAAGAGCAGCTTCGGATCTGTCGCCGCCTTCCTAGTATTTTCCATGAAGTGGGGGCTGAAGATCTACATGGTGCTGCTTGTTTGTGGCGGTAGGCTGTGCTGTGCCTGATGCAGTCACAGTCAGGCAGCGACTATCGACATGTTATTCCTGACTGCAAGTCACTGCCCAATGAGTCAAACTGCAGGCAGAATCGGTGTCTTTGCTTTGAGGAAGGCGATATGTTTAACAGGTGAGTTGGCTTTGTGGACCTTAGGTATGCCATGGCTGCCTCATATCTCCTTAACTGAACCATCGGGCCTAGCCGCCACCCAGGAAAAATCATTCATGTTGTAGCTGAGGTTTGGAAGACAGGATCTTATTTAATTTCCAAGCAGTGGGTTTGGTTTTGGCTCCAGGGTTCTGATGATGCTGTGATTGAGACAGAAGGAGGAGCAGATATGCAACAAGTGGCAGCAGATCTCCCAGGGAGCCCTGGAGCTAAAACCCCACCCTGTCACCTCCTTTGTTGCAAATCGACTTCCTTACTCCCTCCTTGATCCATTCGCTTAATTGCTGTCTCCTCCGAGCCCCACAAAACCTCTTTCCAAGTACTTCAGGTAGCCAATGGCTAAAGAAACGCTCCATGCGTTAAATGTCCATGGCAGGAGACGAAACAAGTGGGGTTTTAAGGATTTATATAGTCTACTACACAACTCTCTTTAAGGTGGCCAGTGCAAACTAGTGTGTGGAGACATCACAGTAGCTCAAGTGCCTTTGATAGAAAAGATATGGCCGGCCGTCTTTACTCAGGTTCCTGTGTTTGGAAGTTTTTCTTCTGGCGTACTGCAGAGCAGGAGTCCAGAAGGACACATCAGAGGAACCTTGCTGTAGATTTCTATCATGGTGCCTCTGACATGCTTTCATTTGAAGGGATGCATTTGAAGACTCACAAGTTCAATTTTAGAAACACTTCTGCTCTGTCTTGCTCACTCTCCCCATGCAATGCATGTCATTCTTACTTGGTGAAATCAAAGTGGGATGAAAGGCCTACCTCATATGAATATTTGCTGTGTGGCTTCAGGATGGTTCTAGCCAGAAGCCCTGTAGAGCGGCAGTCCGGCCACAGTGACACAAAAGCCATCCTTGTCCTTTGGAGTTTCCTCTGTTATCTTTGCTTGCACAGGTGTAGGTGAACGTGGTTGTTTGATTGCTAACATCACACATCCCACCTTTCCGTTGCAGT